CAACGCCACTTGATGACTGCGGTCGAAACGATTTGCTAAACTGTAGTAGCTCAACTCTGATACATCATGGTCGTTCAACTATCGTACTACTGTTGTTGCAAACGTTGCTCCATGTTGTTGTTCCACACCATCCGCAGTATATTTGACTCAGCATTAATGCAGCATCACTATCAACAACTCTGCTTCGATATGGTTTCACGACTCGCAGCGTTAGTGAACAACATCGCTCCTTGCATGTTGTTGCTCAACACCATTCATTGCACTACTACAGTGTTATCACCTGCACTGTGCTCATCATAACCTGCAGGCTGTTTCCCACAGCATTTTTTGGCACTGTTGCTTAAGAAAGCGAACAAGCTGCAAAGGTTATCTAGCAACTGTTGCTCAACGCCATCCGCACTACTGGAAGATGATACCCGAACATCGTTGTTGCAATATGGTTGCCGCAACATCGCTTTATGCATGTTACTGCTCAACACCATCCGCAGTAACTAACTGATCCGCTACCTGTTTTCGTCAGAGGAGCAGCCACTGGCGTCTACGGACTTTTGAGGGGATGGGGGACAGCAACGAAAAGTCATTTCGAATGAAAGGTTGTAGCTGGTAGACGCTCCCCGGTATATATTTTTTTTCACATTCTAAAGGTCTTTAATATCTATTTCAGCGGGCAAGGAGAGCGAGAATGGAGTTGTTGCTATTTAGTACCAAAAAGGAGCAGTGCAGCTTTAGTTGTTGTTCAACGCCATCTCAGCAACTAAGTCAACACCAGGGCCCGGCACGCGTTGGTTTGGAGCATTTTCGAAAACGAAGTCCCCCACGACTTCGCGGAATTTACGAAGTCCCCTTGGACGTAAAAGTCAGTGGGGAAACCCTTGCTCAATCAAAATAACACTAAAAAAGCGAAAAAAGCGCATTTTGAGGTATCTAATATAACAAAAAAGCAAAAAGAAAAGATTTCGAGTTAATTGAAAATTGTGTCATTGGGTAGGGTACTATTTTGGTGCTCAGAATGTCGAAAACCTCCTCGGCCAACCAAATGTGTGGCCTCAACAATCTGGCGATGCATTTTTCGCCACATAGTTCAAAGGACACCGCATGTGATTGGAGCGCAATATTTATCAACGCATAGATTCACACTACTTTTAACTCAAAAAAAAATGGGAGAGGCAATGGATGGTTTGATTCGCTCTCTTCACTATATGATAGATTTTTGACCGTTCTAATCGTCCAAATCAAAAAGGGCCAAAACTTATGTGAACTCTCCGACATTTATGCTCCGAACCAATCCAGTTGGTTTGGTGTTGATCTAAAACCACCACATTCGGGAAGTATTAGGATACATAAGTTCTTGGAACTTTTTACATAATATAGTCGAAGTAATATTGTATAGCCCAAATGCGGTGTCATGTGATTGTTTGAGCGCCGTAAACCAAGCCATTTGTTTGTTTGAGTCTTGCGTTTGAAATTCGCGCGCCTGCGAAGGAACACGCTCAACTTGTAAAACCTGACATATTCGTCTTTTTTGTCGGCGTTCTCCCAGGACCTTATAAAAACAACATCCTCGTTGCTTCTAATTTCAAAAACGAAGTCCAATTTGACCCCAGACCATCTGTGACGATCCCTAGCAACACCACTGCAACACCACTGAAGATATCTTATTGCATTATGGTAGCTCAACTACATCCGCAACACTATACGTTAATCAGTTGCTTGTCAGCATAACCAAGATTACCATCCAACGTCGTCTTGGCAGTGTTACCCTTCAACACTGAAGAGGCAGCCATGTCGCTTGTCTATCTCATCTGCGCCAAGGGCGAATAACCAACCAAAACCTAATTTGCATAATACCATTCGCTACATAAGACCCGCTTAAGTGTTATTCGTAGTATCTGTTCGACATCGGATGAACAGATTTCACTTGAAGGCAGCGTACATCAAATTCTAGGTTACCCAGTCCTCTATACCGTGTATATCTAGGGCCCAGAAAAAGACCAACTGCGTTGGTCCGGTCTCCTTTACTTCTTAGCGGAGAAAACCCGCCTAATTTTTCTTTCATTTCGCCCCTTTTCTTTCACTCCGCCTCCTTCGGACGAAATCCGCGTCAGCGTAAGCTGCAGTTGCAGTTGCTGCAGTTGCAGTTGCAACAGTGCAGTTGCTTTTTGCCGTCCGCCTCCTTCGGACGACGAAAGCACGACAGCATACGCTGCAGTTGAAGTAGCAACTACAGGCTGTCATACTGTTGCAGCTGCTTCTCGCTGGCATGCCGATAGGGACGAGCAGTTCGAAACTCGTCCGCCCTCTAAAGAGAAGGTTCCCGGGAATCGGGGTTTATTGGGACTTTTGGAGGATTTTCATGTCATAACTGTAATCAGGGGCACGGAAAGGCCCCAGAATGACAAAAACATCGAAAGCGAAATTTTGGGTGTAGGCTGCCTTCAAAATCCAATTCAGCGGGGAAGGAGGGGGAAGATGGAGTTGTTGCTATTCAATACCAAACAGGAGCAGTATAGCTTCAATTGTTGCTTAACGCCATCCGCAACAACTAAGTCAACACCACTGCAACACCACTGAAGATATCTTATTGCATTATGTAGCTCAACTATATCCGTAACAGTTGATACATGACACTGTAGTCTGCATGATGTTGCTCAACACCATTCGCAACACTATACGTTAATCCGCTGCCTATCATCATAACCAAGACTACCACTCAACGTCCTCCTGGCTGTGTTTCCGTTCAACACTGAAACAGCCATGTCGCTTATCTCTCTCATCTGCGCCAAGGATGAGTAAGTAACCAAGACTTCTTCTTGCTCAGATACCATTCGCTACATGAAACCCGCCTGAGTGTTGCTCTCGATTCGTAGTACCGTTCGACATCATACAGGGCTCCTAAATTGCAGAGTCGTTTGCACGAGCGGTCGGCGATCGCGCGACCGCTGGTGCAAACGACTCTGCAATTTAGGAGCCCTGTATGCGCAGCGAAGTCGCTTACCAATCGCCTTCTCACTAATGATAAGTATCAAAATTGGATGTGTCGACCTTGTCGCGCATTTACTGCTTCTCAACTCACCATGCCATAGGCGCCACATAATTCTCGCTTACAAAAAGGGCATTTTGATCCGACGAATGTTCCTAATAATTTACACCAGATGCCGGCAAAGGCGCATAACAATCGGCTTTTGTACTAAGAAGGAAGTATGTGAAATTGAAAAGCTCTAGCATAATAAAAATTCACAAGGGCAGCACAAGCTTCAAGCAATATTTATATCTCTTTGGCTATTGGTGCACGGTATTTAGCTTATTACCCATCCCTATAATCATATATGCTCTGACGTTTAGGAAAGAAAAGAACGAAATCGTTGCAATAAGCTCGAGCAAAATGACACAGATACTACATGTCTCGCACAAACTAGACACTCACTCGGATCACCCTGTAAGAACATTTGTAAAGTTGTTTATTTTTGACTAGACGTCCAAAAAATCAAAAACATTACTACATAGCAATTTGCTATAAAAACAAGTTCTCAAACGTAAGGCATAGATCTACCTTGCCCAGCATGCATCTCGCAACCGTCATTGTACTTCTATGTTTCTCAGCTGTTCTGAACGAATGCAGGACAATTTATGCCTATGTCGAGGCAGATAATGTTCCGTAAGTTTCAAAAATTCGACTGCCCTATCCATAGTTGTTAAATTTGAAACCTAGTTCGCAGCGAGTAAAACGATGGTACTATCCCGGTGGCGGATTTTATCCACTTGGTGGCGGAGGAGGTTTTCCAGGAGCTGGAGGATTTGGCGGAAGTGCCTATGGAACAGATATTTCATTCAGTGAAAGCATGAATATTGGTGGCTTCAGCACAGGTGCATTGTTCGGCAAATAAAGATTTCAAATACACTTCTCTTCTAGCAATCGTTACGTTCCAAGGCCCCATGATATCTTTTTGAATAAAAAAGTGATGTCATACTTTGCTGATGTATAGTTCACGTAGTAGTGTTTCACGTCCATCAAAAGATTTACTTCTAAATATCAGTAAACAACATAACAAACAACACTATTGACTTCTCATCATTATATGGAGATGAGTGTAATAATAATGACAGATTTTTGTTTTCACCGCTAAGCGATCAAGGTTTGCCCTTTATAGCGCAATGATATTTATTCCTGTTTGACTTTTCGAGGTCAATATATTATTGAAATATCCAGAACATCTCCCAGCTTGTTTTTGTAGAAATCCCTCCGCTTGATTCTAAGTAGTCCACATGCACACGACTTACATTCAGTCTCGCATATTTAGCCTAGAATGCTGATGTTTTTTAGATCCTCTTGAGGAAAATTGCTTCTTATGACTTTAGCGTCCGGGCAAAATTTGGCCTCTTATGTTTCTGCCATTCTGGGGCCTTTCCGTGGCCCTGATTACAGTTGTAAAGTCCAAATTGTTCAAAACTCCTAAAAAACCCGGTTCTCGGAGACCCTCTTTTCAAGGAGCGGACGAGTTTCGAATTGCTCGTCCCCATCGTCATGCCAGCGGCAGGAGCTGCAACTGCACGGATGCAGTTGCATTGCACACTGCAATGCAACTGCAATGCAGCTGCACACCCTCGTGAGCACTCGTCCTCAGGGGTGGTTTGTGATACGAAGGGGCGGTTTGTGATACCTATCACAGGCCCGTATCTCCTTCTAGAGGCTACATCAAAGGATCGGACCAACGCAGATCGGATACTCATGGGCCCCTCTTTAAAACTATGTGCTAATCTGGGTGGATGGATCTTGCCTGGACGCTGCCTTCAAGAACTCTGCATGCAGTGATTATTTTACACCGGCTAATCAGACCCATGATCTATTCACGCGATTTTATTCTAAGGAAACACAACGGTTAGTAACTCCTTTCAAATTCAACCAAAAAACTGAAGCAGTCCATTTTCACCTAAGAACTGTTTGACCCCTTTCCCCGCATTATTCATCATTTGGATATACAAAATTAATTACAAAATTAAAATTACCTCCAGCTATGACGGCAATTAGATAGGGTATATGAAGATCACAGAGAGGACAGATCTTCTTGAGATTTCGTGTTCGCAGTGCATCCAGGAGACGAGTCTCCTTGGCTCGCAAACGAACTCGTCCACAGCTGAGCCACACCAGCACCAATGAGTTATACAGCGAACATGCGAACTGTAATGCATAATAATAGCCGAAAATTGTCTTGTATGAAGGGAACATACCCCGTGAGCGTCCCTGTTGAGAACATTGCATGCAGCTGCAGCTAAAGAGTCTGCGAAGCGAAGCTGTAGAGAATGGCTTGCTGGCTAAAATAAAAGTGATAGATGTGAGGTAAAATATAGACCATCAAAGTTCTTAGGGCCAAATCAAGAGTTCAGCAGCCTCTAACGCTTTCATTCTCATCCCAGAACTGCATATATTGATATCGAGGTCATACGTTAATGGCATTTGTTCAATCATTGAAAGGCTAGAAAAATTATATCTTCCTTCATTCTAGCAGTCAGATCCCAAAATTCACATTTTCTATTTGATGCTCAACATTTTTTGCGAGTAAGAAGAAAACTCGGAATGCTCAAATGACTAGACAAACTATGCCTTATGGAGAAAAAAGTTTGTACATAACATAGATTACGAAACAATTTACTAGTTTTATTCCAGTCTCAAATTTATTGTCTGGAAGGTTTGACACAATTTTGCAGAAAGTGAATATTGTCCTTTTTACTGGAAGATACTGTGGCCAGAAGCTAGAACTCACAATGCAAACAATCATAGAAACAGTCTAAGTCAATCCCTTCAATCTTTGTTTGATGTATGAGATATTGTTTGATGACATAATTGTCCTTGTGATGAAAAGCACTTTTTCCCTTACCTACTGATTAGGTAAGTTTTTACACTTACATTTAGAGACAGATTGATGGCCAGCGAACATGCGTACTCGTTAGCATATGCAGATGTTCGACCTTCTAGAAAATTTACAATCCATTCCAACATTCCGCATTGCAACAGCTCTTTTTGACATGCTGGCCTAAATCCCCATTTTAGAAGGCGTTACACTTTTATCAAGCAGTATCCTACCTAACGCTAGTCTTCTGAAGCATGGCTAAAAGCTGCTCTTGCGTAGTCGTCGGCAAACGTCGACCACGAAGTACTGGCACCACGCAGTTGAGCACTAGTCGAAGGTGAGCTGAATCAGGCATATCTTATTTTTTATTCTCTGATTTTGATTGAATTTCCTTACTTAATAGATACTGCCTTCCGTTAGTGAAACTCGAGAGCGTGTTGATAAGCCTAGCCATTTGTTCTCGAGAATCCACACCGTCCGCTTGAAGGACCCGAGTCAGGGCGCACTAGAAGACCAAATGATGAGCATTGTACTCCTTTTCAGAAATTAGACTGAGAACATCAAAAGTTTTCCGTTTAGAAGTCTTACGTTTCTCCTGTTTTTCAGTTGCAGTACGTCGTTGTCGATGATCCATGACAATGCTTTCCGAGAATACTCAGACGAGGCGGCAATGGTCACTTGCTAAACTCAGACATTCAGATTTGGGGTTTTACCCTTCGTGTTTTCGAAAACTTCTGAATATGAACCTGTCGTAATGCTTGGAGCAGCAGAGCCGTTCCCCTTCCTGCTGGATGTCCGCAGATCAGCGCCGACAGCTTCGAAGGGTCGAGGTCGTTGAGCAGACATCGATCTGATCGCTCACTGAAAATTACGTTGGCTCAATAAGTAAAAGGTTTGAGGTTTTAATTTACGCACACGACACCCGATGCTTCTTTCCTTGGTGAAGATGACGTCTTCGGATCCGGCGGCACTTCGTGCACCTCGTCGCTAGATCGAAAATGTGCTAAAGTTGAGTTATTTGCGCGTTACGGGGAATGCTTTGCACTATCACTTACACTCAAAGCCTTAATTATCTCTTTAATTTCTGCACTACACAGCACTTACCCCTATCTGCAGCAAGTGATGAACGAACGGGTCGCGTAGGCAACTTTCGTGCCGCCCTCATTCGGGTACGGCAGCTGATAGTTAACCTGGAATGGCATAAATGTAAATGAAAAGAGGAGAAAAAATTTCGTCGAGTTAAGAAACATTTCAAAAAAATTTTTCCATGGGGAATAAGCTTGGCGCAGTGCGCTCGAACTAAAAGTAATCGAAAGCTTTCATAGCAGAGTTTGATGTACGGTAGACAATCTAGCTATTCCAGGACTTGTGCACAAGAAAAAGGAAAGAAGAAAGCAAAAAATGGAGGTAATGAGCAGCGGTTTCAAGACAGTATATGGATGGTCTTCGAAATGAATACTGTGTGATTTATTTCCATAGAACTCTGGCAGGACAGGTCACCAACTGTCGCAGGAACTTTTCTTTGGCAAGGAGAAGGACATTAATGATATTTATTGCAAAATAATAGGCGGCAGCTAACCGAATAGACCATGAGTTTTCAAACATCATAGCGTGTTTGATTTGTAACAGAACTATCTGATTCCATTGATGTTTCTAGGTCTTGATAATATGGAAATGACATGTGAAAGCACTTACGCTATTCAACAAAAACGAAAAATTCTAACATTGCATGTGAATGTTCATATAGGAATTATTCAAAGATAAACTCTAAAAAATCATCCTCTGATTCTTTTTACAGTAAAAACGATATCATTTTGAAAGCCAATCAAAAGAGATGTCAAGTAGAAGATTAGAAGTATAGGGGTGATGCTGTGTACTTCCGGGATCTACCCAGCTCCTGAAAAAGACAAACCTTATGAATTACCGTAATCAGAAGAGGTCTAGACTGTGTCAGAATAACAGCAGGTGCAAGATCACGGTGTTTTTCGATATCTAAAGGCTTTGGATCACTGCTTACCCGCAGGGGAACGATGTAGCTCTATCTACCAAGCAACAATCAAGTACCCATAAAAGGGCAGAGCAATTTGCCGAGAAAAACAAACATTATGCGGTACGATAAAAACTAGATTTCCTGCAGCACACAATGAAAAAAAGTAAGTTCTGAAGTATGCAGTGCTTAGAATGTAATTGTTCACAGAATATCATAATAATACCACATAACCACACAAGCATAACTATCTTCTCATAGATTGTCCAAAACAGGGGGATAGAAAACATTAAAAACTCAGTCCGGTGATGAGAAACCTAAGTTCACTGCTGTATTTTCATGGGTTTGCTTGAGATGCTATGCACAAACAAGGCAAACTCCTTGATTCAATTGGGATGACGGCTGGAAGGCGGGGCTTCGTGATCTATTTGAGGGAAGGGTCAGACAGCGCGCTCGCGAGAGAGACGCAGAAGCGTTGCGGGTACGAGCGGGTATATAGGAGTATAGGGTATAGGGTATATAGGGCAGAGGGTATATAGGCTAACAAGTAGCCAGCAGCATTACGGTAATTTGGTACCTTTTTTAGTTGTTTTGAATTCCGGGTACGGTTTCATTTCAGTTGCTTGAATCATGTAATCCAGAAAACTACCTAATTTACCCTATCGAAAATAGCGCAGAATCTTCAAAAGTGTGTGATTCGATCACGTTAATCCAAAGGAATTGGGGCTACCCTCCCAAAGGAGTTCCCAGAAACTGAACTTTTCAATTTCGTTTTTCCATATACTGCTAACAATAAGAGGACTTTATCGATGACATAAGACAAAGAAAAGATGTTGATAAGCTTACAGACCAAGAATCCAGAATAAGAAATTTTCATAGATAAAATTTCAAAGCTTATCAAAAACTGTCCACTTTTCCTTTCGACTACACCCTTTCTGCTCAATTTCTGGCAGATGTCACAACTAATATAAGCTCAAAGTTATGCAAAAGAGTAAGTAGATAACTGCGCTAAAACCGTACAGTGATATTGCGTCAGATAAATTTGTCTTTAGTAAAGTTTTACTCACGCTGTAGAAGGACCTTTCTTGTTGGCAAATCATCGTGTACCCAAATTTGCAAAAGTTGTGTTGGCGTCGAAAGGGACATTTCTTCAAATATGCCTCTGCGAAGGATAAAAACCAAAAATGAATTACGCTAAGTAAGCAAGAGACTTTTTTCTTGGGACATTCTTATTTCACGCAGATTGTAGCATCAGTTATGCAAAGTGGTCATGAAAACGCAGAGAAACTTTCCGTAATACAAGGAAAAAAGACAATGTAGGATTGTGTGTATGTAGTATGTAGTCTCTGACTTTGCTTACAAGGAGAGGATACTTAGTCGAAAGCACCAATCCAGATGAGGCATACACCATCTTAGAGCGCTTGAAACGCTGATTCTAAATCTGTAGTTTCTAGCTGCGGAGCGGTTTTGTAGAGAGAGTTATGAAGGGTGTTTCCTCTAAGGTTGAGGCGCCCTCCACCAGGTCTCCCTCTACCTATGAGCACTGTAGAGGAGTACCAATTGTGGCAACTGACCTAGTGGTAAGTGATGTGCTTGATAAAGAGAGTGTCAAGGTTTTAATCCTCTTCGTATTCTAAATTGAACTTCTAAATGGCTTTAGAGCCCTAAAGCATGAAACTTCTGATGATATGGATACTAATCGAAGTTAGAGGTGTTGAAAAAACTAGAGTAATATGAGTATTACAATCTTTACTGTAATCTTCATTCAAGTCACTTACCACTAGGTCAGTTGCCACAATTGGTACTCCTCTACAGTGCTCATAGGTAGGGGGAGACCTGGTGGAGGGCGCCTCAACCTTAGAGGAAACACCCCTCATAACTCCCTCTACAAAACCGCTCCGCGGCTAGAAACTACAGATTTAGAATCAGCGTTTCAAGCGCTTTAAGATGATATATGTTTCATCTGGATTGGAGCTTTCGACTAAGTATCCTTTCCTTGTTAGATTCGTCGACTACGAAAGAATGCAGATGCTGTTCCGTCGAACTTTCGGTCTTTTGGTTGGTATTATTTCTGCAATATGACAAATAGTTGTAACTTCTTATAAGATCTTGCTGAGGGTCACAAGTTAAAAGGGATAGAGATCTCCTCTCGGAAAGCAGCCCAAGAAACGTTAGGGCTCCTCCAAAACCAAACCTTTCGTGTAACACTCATGAAAATATAATACGAGACACTAGTTTGACTTACAGGGAACAGACTTCAATTACTTTTTGCTATCGCATTTGAAAGATTCCTCATAAATAACGCTGGCACATCCGTGTACTTTATCTACTAAAAGCTTGAAATACTATTTACATCCTACAGATTCGAGTTGTTTGTATTTGTTCCGTTCACCCTTTCGCATGTGATATATAATAGTTCAAGCTGAGCATACGATACAAAATTCCTCCCCCTGTCCGTTTTATAGCCAGTTTTCTTCCTTAAATATTTTCAAAATCAGCTAATATTATAATAAAACACGCCAAATAACAATCAAATGATAAAGTTCTGCAAAGTGATTGGCAGTAAGCAATCAATCGGCAAGAAAGATAGAATAAATGTTTTGGATGAAAGTGAGAAAGAGCAAAGAGAGCAAAGACTTGCAAAGTCGAAGAAGGAAAAAAGTGCCTGCAAATTTTTCTTCATTTCGATAAGAAGTTTTGTAATAAAGTTAAAGCCGTAGAGAGAAATGTGGATATGGCAGTGACCGAAAGGCTACCGAGGAACAGCATTGTTATACTAATCAAAGCAGCACAACGAGCCAAAAAAAAAACAGACGCCGCCTTTCCGGTCCCAAAGGCTCTTATTATATCTCCCAACTGACATTAGAACAATAATATAACATTTCTACAAAGCGAATATGTATGTAAACATTTGAAAAGCCATACAATTGAGTCCTGCATATATCTTTTAAAGAGCGAAATCGACATAGATGACTCCCTGCTCTTATGACTTCACATAATTGCTAAGAACTTCATGTAATTGCAATACTCACACAATATTATATGACTTTTTACTCCACAGTTAATCAGAGAAGTACAAAAGTTGCAACCAGCTACCCAGATAGATTTCAAGATTATGAAGTAAGAACACAAAAAATCAAAGTCCAAATAAAGGCACGTCATTCCTGGAAGCAAACTGCACAAACATGTCCCACAGTCATAGAAACCAGATTACATGGAAAACAATTATATAATCCAGACATGAAGGAGCGAAAAATAACTCTGCCTTTCTAGGCTCTAGCGATAGAGATTAATTACTCGTCGTGTAGTAGATGATGGTCTACGATTATGAAAGTGGGTTACAATTTTCAACGACAGTCGATGAACTGAAGGGAAGAAAAACAGTTGGGAAACTTATCACAAAAAATTCAAGTACAAAAGAGCGGAATTTGGAAAATTTTGTAGTCACTCCGTCACACTACAAAATAAAGGTTTGGAATCTATACAATCTGAAAGTTAGTATCGTGCTGATTTCGTCGCAGAACAGCTCAAAGATGGAGCTTCATAGATAGGATAAATATATCACTGTAAAGAGCATTGTGTTGGTAACTAATACCGGGTAAAAACCTTTATCCAAGTAAGCAATAGAATAGAGAGCTTACTTTAGCAGGTACGTATCTTCGTATTGTTAAAATATTTACTATAAAAAGCGACACATAACCTTCGCTTCTTTCCTGGAGACACATGGGCAAAAAAATTTTAGTGAGAAAGCGAAAAGTTCAACAATCAAAAAATCCTGAGGTAACGCATAAGTATTTATCATATGTTTGTATAAAAGCTGTATAGAGCAGCTATGTTGTGGGGTCCACACAAATCGAAATACCTTTTGAATTGAAATTTCATGTGAAATTTTAGGAAAAGGAATTGAAGAGAAATTACTTTTCGCACACTTACCAATGTAGCTGACTATACTGCAGAAAACGCAGAAGACTTTATGATTTACAATTATGGGAGTTAAATGCCTGATGATAGAACTGCAAAGCCTTTTCAATCAAAGCAAAGCAGTTCGCAGCACTACAACTACCTTTATCATACTCACACCTTCCATGAAGAAGCATTATGCTTGCTTTCAGAGCAGCAGAGACATACATAAGTCATTCCTAGTTCTTTGAATTATTATACATATCTGGAAGTCTGCAAATGTCGCAACATGATCAGAAGATT